GGGGGGGGAGGAGGCAGGAGGAGAAGCAGAGGGGATTAAGGGAAAGTAGAGGGGGCGAGGGGGGTGGGGGGAGGGCAATAGGAAAAGCAGAGAGGATTAGGGGAAAGTAGAGGACTGACATTGCGAGGGGTTGCGCATGTCAGGTTCTCTGCAAGAGGCACATGGTCAGCACTTCAGCTCAGCAAAGGAGCGACGTGACTTGGTTACCTGCAAGCCCTTCCGTTGCCGCTTCCTCCTCCTCCATCCTGTCAAAACATGCTATCAGTTTAACAACCCCAGCAGCAGACCCAGCTCACGTGCTCTTCTCCATTGCTGGTTGCATCCTCGAGAGCCACCGGGTCAACTTGCTCGATTTCTTCTCATTTCTTTCCTCTTGTTGTTGAGCCCTGGCAGGAGAGCAAGCCTCTTTCTCCTTCATCTCCGAGGTCCAGGCTCTCTTGGAGGCCATCTGAACCCACCGGCGCATCGGCTCGCACATGTTTACTTCCTCCTTGCGCTCCCCCACTCCTTCTCGTGTCTGCCTGCACCGCATGACCCACCTATGCCACGTCAGACTTCAACTTTGAACATTATGACGTCACCTTCCAAGCTTTCCTCCCAAAGCACTTGCTCCTGCCGAGGGTGGCACTTGAGCTTGAGCTTGAGCTTGAGCTTGAGCTTGAGCTTGAGCTTGAGCTTGAGCTTGAGCATGTGCTTGAGCATGTGCCTGAGCTTGAGCTTGTGCTTGAGGTTGAGGTTGAGGTTGAGCTTGTGCCTGAGCTTGAGCTTGTGCCTGAGCTTGAGCTTGAGCTTGTGCCTGAGCTTGAGCTTGTGCTTGAGCTTGAGCTTGAGCTTGAGCTTGAGCTTGAGATTGTGCCTGAGCTTGTGCCTGAGCTTGTGCCTGAGCTAGAGCTTGAGCTTGTGCTTGAGCCTGTACTTGAGCTTGAGCTTGAGCTTGAGCTTGAGCTTGTGCCTGAGCTTGAGCTTGAGCTTGTGCCTGAGCTTGAGCCTGAATTTGAGCTTGAGCTTGAGCTTGCGTTTCTCTACTTGTGCTTTCCTCCTGCAGTTCTTCGCCTCCTCTTGGTCCTTCTTTCATCTTCGCATGGGTCTGTGACTGCGAGTCAGGAAGTTTCTCTCCTCCTGTCTCCCTTACCTCCTCCCATTCCTTGATGTCTCCTAGCGCACTTGTCCAGATCTGCAGCAGCTCCTACACAAACATGATCCCGACTCTCCCACTCTTGTCCTCCTTTAGCTCTCCCTCACCTCCGCCTTCTGCTCTTCAGCTCCTTCCACCTGCGTCCGGCTCCTCAGCAGCCATCGCTCAAGCTTCTTGGGGTCTGCTTGGAAAGAGGCTGACGGCAACGAGTCCCTGCTGCGTCAAATCTTCAAAGAGCGGAAGAGAGGAGGGGGAAGGAGCAGGAGCAATACCTCTGCTGCAACGACAGTCTCGTGCGGTGGAGCCACCGACCTAGCTTTGAGCTACTCTGCTGCTGCTGCTGCTGCTGTATGCTGTAGAGGATCAACATCATTATCGTCGGCTGGTCCACGAGCTTGACTCACCTCACGCTCTCTCCGCCCATCGCTGAACGAGTGCGATGGATCCAACGCTTGAGCTTGGGGGAGAACGAGCTGGGGAGGAGGAAGCGGTCAGGCGAGACACTTCCGCGTCATCGCTCACCATGGCACGTTGCTCTTGCTCCATCCCTCCACACAGCCGCATTCAGAAGGATTCCCCACGTCCGCACCCGCTGAGTCCCTTGGCATCCTCCTCGGTGCCTGGACGACCAGCAGATCAAGGCAGGAAACAGCCGTACTCCCTTCCTCTCCCTTTCCCTCTCCTCCTTCCTCCTTTCTACCCTCACCATCTCCCTCTTCTCTTTCCTACTAGCCTTGCTCGCCTCTGCTCCTCTCCATCTTCTGTATCCTCTCCTTCCATCTCCTTCTCTCGTGCACCCATCCTCTCCTCTCCCCCTCTCTCCCTCCCGCTGCTCCCTCCCCGCACCCTCCACGTCTCATTTTGCGGCTAAAAAGGAACACTGGCCTAATACGCCCCCGATAGTGGTACTACACCAGTAGAGCCATGGCAGCGCGATAGACAAGGCGTCCTCACCCCCCTCTCCCTAGCGCCTCATCACTTGTTCATCTCTCCTCTGATCTGTGCTTGTCTTCTCCCTCCTCTCCCTCCTCTCCTCTTCCTCAAATCTCCTTCTTCCTCCTCTCCCTCCTTTCCTCTTCCTCAAATCTCCTTCTTCTTCTTCCTCCTCCTCCTCCCCTCAACCCTCCTCCCCTCAACCCTCCTCCCCTCTACGTCTTCTCCTTATCCACATTTCTGCATCGTCACTAGTACTCTCGCCATTGCAACGGTGCAAATTGTATGTGACCCTCCCCGAGAAACACTGAAGGGCATGGGCCAAGGTGAAATGTTTTATAATTGAGGCATTAAGACAATATACCATAGGTCGTGTGTTAGTGGTCCTGGGTCGTGGGAGAGACGAAGGCGACCCTGCTCCCAGCTTTTACTCTGGGCGGGTCAGAAGGGAGAGGAGGGAAGGAGAGGAAATGAGCAAGCAGTACAACCTCAAGGGATTGAAAGGTTGCTTGCTGCTCTGTTGTGAGATGTGCTGCTCATGCTTCTCTTGCAGACTCGAACTCTGACGACGAGTTCTTCGTCGTTACAACACCATCGACCAACAAGAGCAAGCATGCTGCTAGGAGACTTGAAAGCAGCGACGAAGACTCTCCTCGTGATGTTTTCTCCCTCTCCTCTCTCTTCCTCTCATGCTTCTGCTCTTCAGAGGCGAAGCCTTCAAGCTTCAGGAACCGACCGGCCCCGAGGGACGCAGCATCGTCCCCTGAGTCC